TTTGGGTGGATCCCAAACAGCTGCCAGGGTGGGTGCCCTGTCCTGCTGCTGGAGCAGCGCCAGCGCCCCGGGAGAGGGGGAAGGTTCCTGCCAGGAAACCATGGGGTGACGCACTGGGAACACAAAACCACTGGGAGCACAGAGCCCCGTGGGGCCCAGTGTGCCCAGGAGCTGCCCAGGGCTAGGGCTGGGCTGGCCCTGAGTCATGGCCATGACCCTGCTTGTGCAAGAGGACGTGGGTGACAGCAGCACTGCCACCAGCTGTGGGCTCAGCCTGTGCTGGGGAATTGCTTGTCCTGCCCAGCTGTGGAGGTGTAAGGTGCCCTACTTCAGTGGGGATGCAAACAGCCTGAAGGGGCTTGGTGTGCAGAGCTGGCCTTGTCCTTTTGGGAGGCAGGACAGGCCCTTCAGGAATCCCATCCCTGCAGTCCCTAATGCTGGGTGGTGCCTGGCTGGCCTTCAGTGGGTCACCCACAGCACAGCTGTCCCTGGGCTGTGGGGCCAAGGGCATCCTCCACCTTTGGGAGTGGTGGCTGCGTTCCAGGTTCCCTGCTCTGCACCTGCCCAGGTGCCACTGGGGTATTTAACAGAGAAAAGGAGGTTATTGCACCCTAAACCTTGTGTCCTCAGCCTCCTGTGTGACAACACGGGCATATGAGGAGTTGAGAATGTTCTGAGTATGGAGGGGGGACACTGCCAAGTGCTGGTTTTTATAGAGGAAAGAAGTGCAGCTTGGTGTGGAAGAAGTGATGGTGAGCCCTTTGCAGCAGAGAGAGAACTTGATGTGGGGATTTTTCCAGGAAGCTCAAGAAAGACCCAAGAGGAGTCCCATCTCACCACAAACAAACAGATGAATTTTCAGAGTGCTTCACAGAGCTCTTTGGTAGCTGTCTGGGTCTGATTTTTAACTTCCCATGACAGAAACTGAAATTAGCTGCTGCCACCTTTCCTTGCTTGTGTTCAAGAAACAACTGGATGTGGCACTCAGTGCTCTGGGCTGAGTGACAAGGTGACAATGGGGCACAGCTTGGACTTGGTGATCTTGGAGTTTTTTTCCAAGGAAAATAACTCTGTAAGTGATGCTGCTGGGCAGCCCTTTGATGGCCGCTGTAGGGATTTATTTTGGAGAGGGTTAAATTAGCCCTTCAGCACAGGGGTAGCTGGATACATGGAGACCCTGGGGAGGAGTGGAGAGTCCTTGGGGCGAGGAGAGCCCCACTCCCTGCCATGCCTTGGCCAGGAGGAGCAGAGCTGATGCCTGTCCTGGCACACAGCTCGTGCTGAGGTCGCCTCTGAGCCTTTCTCAGAACCAACTCTTCGGCAGAAGCCGGGAGGAGCCGGCGCTTCTCAGAATGAATCGCGCGTGCATCACCCAGCACCGCTTCCTCTTCCTCTTCCTCACATTTCCAAGCGGGGATGGTCAGCACCGTCACCCCCGTGGCTGAGATCCGGTGATGCTCGCCTTGCCTGACAACGGGGACTTTTCCAACTTTACCTGGAAAAGAGGTGCAACCTGAAACCTGAAACCAGCCCTTGCGGTCAGGCAGCTTCGTCAGCGCTGCTGCAGCACAGGAGCTGTGCCCGTGCTGGGAATGGGGAGAGGAGGACACCCAGGATGGTGGGAATGGGGAGAGGACACCCAGGATACTGGGAATGGGGAGAGGAGGACATCCAGGATGGTGGGAATGGGGAGAGGAGGACACCCAGGATGGTGGGAATGGGGAGAGGAGGACATCCCAGGATGGTGGGAATGGGGAGAGGACACCCAGGATACTGGGAATGGGGAGAGGAGGACACCCAGGATGCTGGGAATGGGGAGCTGAGTGTACCCCAGGATTCTGGGAATGGGGAACTGAGTGTACCCCAGGATCCTGGGAACAGAGAGCTGAGGGTACTCCAGCATCCTTGGAATAGGGAGCTGGGTATACCCCAGGATCCTGGTGCAGAGGGAGCACAGGGCATCAGTTTGTGGTGCCAGCAGCTGCACAGGAGCACGGGCAGCCTCCCCTCTCTGGGCTCTCAGTGCCTCTAAAACACCTCCAAAGCCCCCAGAGGGATGTGAGGCCGTGTCTTTAAAGGCACTCCGGGGCTGTGCTGAAGCTCAGCAGAAACTGGATCATGGAGATATAAATCTTTTATTGCCCCCTGAGTGGCAGTGCTGGGAGCCAAGCTGGCCCAGCAGGATCACCATCCCCTGACCTTTCAGCATTCCTGCTCCATTCCGCTGGTGCTGGCTCTGCTTAAATATTTATTTATTTGAAAGAAAACACCCCCACACTCGCAGCAGGGCCAGGGACGGGCTGTGTGTCAGCAGCCTGGTCACATCCAGCTCCTCTCTGCGGGGCTGGGGGAGGCTGGAGAGCAGGCTCAAGGTTTCCAGTGAAATCCAGGGTGAAGAGTGTGTGCAGAAGGCAGAGCTGTGTCCTGCCGTGCTGGCAGCTTCCCCCTGTCCTCTCTGCAGAGTCCCAGCACCAGCCTGGGCCAGGGAGCATTACCTGGTACCTGCATCCTCAGGGATTTTTCTGCACCTCTCCCCCAGTGCTTCCCAGCCTGTGTGGGTGGACACCCCCTTGTTTCTTGCTGGGTGGCAGTTGGACATGTCCAGGTGAATTCTGGGTTTGGGTACCAGTGAAGGGGAGGCAGATCATGGCAGCCCAGTCAGGGATGTCCAGGTGCTTCCCCAAGGCTGTCCCTGCACAGGGAATTCCCAGGTGCCCATTAACCCTTTCCCAGGTGGGTCAGCTCTTAGCAGGGCATTGCCAGTTCCAGCTGAGCTGTGAGCCCTGTCCCCCAGCTCAGAGACACCCAGAGGGCTGTGTCCTTGTCCTCAGCCTGTGGAGTTCACGTGGAGCATGGTTTGGTTTTAATCTTTCAACCTTGGCATGAGGAACTAGAGGTGCTTTATTGTTTATTCCAAATCAAAACCAAGATTTACCAACTTTGAGGGCTGGGGCTTTCAGAAACTCAGCAAGAGGGGAAGCTGTGAGGAGGCTGCAGAAGCTGTGGGTGCTGTTTGATTTCACCTTCTGGCCAGGAATGATCAAGTCACAGCCCCTGCAGCAGCTGCAGCTTTGGCTTAAATTGCAGAGTAATGTTGGAAAGTGCTTGGGGTATTTGTTATGAAACACTGCAGGTAGGGAAAGTTGGTGCTTCCCTCATCCCTTTGATCCTTCTCGAGGACGGGGCCTGGGAATGCTCTGGGGATGGCGTTAGAAACGTTTTTGGGAACAAGGAAAATATTTCTAGAGCAAGAAAGGGTCAGGCAGGAGCTTCAGGGCTCTTGTGTCTGCCTAGAAACCTCAGAACGTGGGCCTGAGGGTCCAGGCAAACCTGCAAATATAAATTGCATTTTAGTCTAATTGCCCTCATCCTCTGTCCTTGTTTCTTCCCTGGAAGAACAGGGGGAAGTGCAGTTGATGTAGTTGGTTTTCCCTGGGTGGGAGATGCTGGACCTGAGCACAAATGTTGAGCTGCCCCCTCCTCCTTAATGAGTAGGAGCTGGAAGAACACAGTTGCCTGTTCCTACTATTAAACCTTAATTGTGGGACTGGTGTTTCCTAAAGTCCAAAATATTTTGGCACTTGTCTGGCTAAAGGCTTTTTTTTTTTTTTGTACATAGATTTTTTTCCCTTTTATTAGCAGAAACCATCTGCCCTGTAAACAGAGATCAGGAGCAAACAGCCTTCCTGGCAGTTCTGCATCACGTGGGGATGCTGTGGTGCCTGCATGGGAAAGGGCCTGCCTGCTTTCTGCCTTCTCATCCTGGCAAAAGGAAACTCCAGGCAGATCAGAAGCAGCTAATTTAAGCTGATGAGTCTTGGCACCACATCTGAATTGCAGAGAGGATGTGACTGGAGCTCTCTGTAGAGGTGCACAGCCCTGATTAAGCAGGATGGATGCTCCTGGGAATGAAGGGGAGCATGGAGGGGATACAGGTTGGAGCTGGAGATTTAGGCAGGGAGTGACAAAAACCCAGGAGTTTGCAGTGCTGCAAAAACAAGCTGAGAGGCCAGAGAAGAGCCTGGCCAGCACGGTGTGGGGTGAGCTTTGGTCGCTGCTAATCAGCAGTGTTGATAGATTTTTGATGAGCAGCATCCCTTGGTGTTAATGCAGTCACCCATCACCTGGCCAGCTGTGTCACCTGGGAGAGCACACACACCCTTATCTCAGCCAGCCCGAGTTCAGCTTCCATTTCAGAGCACATCTCCAGCGTGGGAGGAGAACCAGACTGGATGGGAAACCAGTTTGATGTTGAACTGTAAGGTGTCAGGACATGGGGTGCACCCCTCCTCTCTTGTGGCTTTCTGTTCCGCTCCTGCCTTTATTTTTAACATCTCTGGCATGTACCCGAGTGCCTGTGTGACTCTGTGCAGGCTCCTCAGCCTGACTGTGTGTCCAGTGACATTCCTGACTACAACTTAGACAATGGAACATTAGAGAATTTGTATGGCTGAAGGAAAACTTTATAGGCAGTGCATTGTAATGTATCTGTCCCACACTAGACAGTCAAAATAGGATTTTCTTTTTCATTAAAAAGGAAGTATTTCAGTTATGGAAGAATTTCCAGGTAGACCTTGGTTTCTTTTATCAGAGAGTACACCAAGCTTTGCTTGACCAAAAAAGCAGAAAATCTTCCTCAAACACAAATTAAAAGATTGTAAGATGGCAGTGGATTTCTAGCACTGGGAAATGCTTGTCCAGACATGAGATCTGGGCTGGTTTAATGTCCAGTGGGTTTATCCTGAGGTGTGTGTGAGGGAGCAGGGGCTGGGGCAGTGAGTGGCTGGAGAGAAAACCCCAGCCCTGAGCAGCCCCAATTCCCAGCAGTGCCTCGGGCTGGCACTTTGCAAACTTTCCAGTGAGATGCAAATGCAGATAACTGCAGATAAGTAAGGAGCTGCATCCGAGGAATGTCCCGTGGCTTTAGAGCTCTGTCTGTACTGTGCTCTTGGGCAGGTTTCCATGTGGCTAACGCTAATTGTGCCCTGTGTGATCCTCAGGAGAGAAACCTGGACTGGTTCCCCCGCATGAGAGCCATGTCACTGGTCAGCAGCGACTCCGAGGGAGAGCAGAACGAGCTGAGGAACCTGCAGGAGAAGTTGGAGTCCACCATGAAGCTCGTGACCAACCTCTCTGGGCAGCTCTCAGAGCTCAAGGATCAGGTAAGGAGCAGCACACGGCTCCTGGCAGCCCCTGGGACCAGCTGGGGTTCTCCAAACCCCGGGGAGGCTTTCCCAGAGTCATTCATGGTTAGGAAAGAGGTGAACAAACCAGATGTCCCTCCAGAGCCCCAGCTGACCTGCCTGGTGCTGACCCAACTGGAGAGTTCCAAAGTGGCCACATCAGCAAGGGAAAGCCTGTGTTAAAAAAATCACCAGAGTTAACTTCAATCAGTCCTGGCTGGTGCAGGAAGCCTGTGTGTGGTGATGTTGTTGTTGTTTGGGGTTTTAACACAAAGATCTGAGCCCAGTCCTGTCAGCCAGAGGCTGTGACACTGACACAAGGGCTGTGTCACTGTGGGGACCTCAAAACCCACCGAGAAACTGGAGAAGCACTCGAGTGGCTGCTAGTGGTGCAGGTCCCTGTGTGCTGTGGCTGTGCTGCTGTGCAGGTGTGGCTGCTGCCACCCTCATCCTGCAGCACACACGTCCCCAGGAGAGGCTTGCACTGCACCAGGCGCTGCTGCTGCGGGTGCTCCACACACCTCGGGGTGTTCTTCTGGTGCAGCAGCTTCTCTGCAGCAAGAGCTGCTTGGCTTCTGCCTTGGCTGGGCTCGAGGGCACCGTGGGGCTGGTTCCCAGCCCAGGCTTTGTGAAACACGGAGGCAGCAGGGCTTTAGCTCGAGGTGTTCACAGGGATTCCAGCCTGACTGGAGGGAGCAGGGAAAGCACTGCTGCCTGTGCTGGTGGGAGCTGTTTGTGGTGGCTGCTGGTCTCTGTGCATTAATAATCTGAGCCAGATGGTTCAATTAGTGCGTTTATGTAGGTATTGGCACTGAGTAAGATGAATTGCTGAGTTGTACCCAGGTGGTGGATGGAGCTGCCCGAGGCAGGAGTGGCCCAGCAGCTCTGGGTCAGTTCCTCTCCCAACACCAGCCCCATCCCTGCTGGGCTGGCTGGGTGTCTCCATGGAGCACTCCTCTGTCAGGAGCACACAGCACTGCCTGGCATCTGGCTCCTGCCTTCTGATCACGCTCTGCACTTGGGCTGGGGCTGGGCCCTGTCCCCAGCACCCTGTGGAGCACAAGGAAGGGATTAATGTGGGGCACTGGGAGCTGACAGCCTCGCTGCCCCGGGCTGTAATTAGTTCTCAGTGCCACAGAGCCCCTTGCTCCAGTTGGTCTGAGGATGGAGGGCACAGGCAGTTGCTCTTTTTGTCTGGGCTTTCATTCTTGCCAGGCAGTGGTTTGGCTGTTCTGCCTGGAAACAATTATCCTGCCCCATGTGTCCTGTGTCTCCCTGCTGAAGGCTCTGACTCCAAGTGCTCTGCAGGCACAGGAGCCTCCCCACCTCAGCAGCCTCACACACATTTCTTCCTGAAGCTTGCAGCCCTCTTGGCTGACCAAGCACTAAAACCCCTCCTCTCTCTTTGTGAAAATAAGAATGAAGGGTTTAGCTTTTAGAGAGCTATTTGACTGTAAAAGCAAGAGAGGAAACCAGCTTCATTAATGTGGTGATAGCTTTTAGGAATTCCCCTAAGTACCATTATTGAGAGCCCTGCTGAAGATGCAGGATGCTCCAATTATGTGACAAAGCCAGTATATCCCTCCTCCTGATCAGGAGCTGTCTCCAGGAAAGGAACTAACTCAGGGAATTTTTATTTGTATTTATTTTCTTGTAATTAAATAAAGGGAAAACCTCTCATTCATTTGCTCTTCAAGCTCGTTAGGTTTCTGGAGACTCTAATTATTAGAAGCCGAGTTCCAGCCCGCCTGCTTCCCCAAAGTGCACCAAGAGCCATTAAAATCCTGATCTCTTTAATTCTGTGCGAAAAGATTACACCATAATTGTGTGCAGCAGCAGGGGATTAGATGTAATCACCCAGAAATCCTTCCCTGCCCCTCCTCTGGTGTCACTGAGTGTGAACATCGCTGCTGGGGACAGGTGGGGACAGGGACAGCTCCAGGTGTGGCTCAGGGTGACTCAGCTGCCAGCAGCCCCACGGGCATGGCCGTGGCCAGTGGGGATCCTACTCCTGGAGGTGACTCCAACTCACCCTAACCTTTGGAGCCAGGCATTATCAGGGAGCCCTGGCTCAGCTGAACCCCTTGGGCAGTGTTTGGGTCCTGTCAGCACAATTCCAGGGCCTGGCAGCTCCCTGGGGATTCGCTGTGCCTGGCTTTTATGGCCTGTTAGCCCAGGTGTGCTGTCACTGGAAAGCTTCTGCTGGAGATTCACTCTCCAGTAAATGGGATGGCACCAAGTTGCTCCCTCCTGCAGCCCTGTGCCCTCCACACAAGCATGAAGCATTGTGCAGGATTAATAATGTTCTGCATCAACACTAAAATTGCATTTCTCCCTCTTATTTATGGTTAGTTGCTTTATTCTTCCCTTTTTTAAAGCCACATCTTCTACAAACACCTGCACCAGGGTGCACCATCCCTTTTCTACACAGCCTAAAAAATATCTCCTACAGTCCCTTTTCATTATTCCTATTTTATTTTTATTCCATGCATCCTCTAAATCAGTTTATTGGCAGTGTGAAATTGTGACTCTTGGTTTGCTCAGTGAAGATAATTAATGTAAAGGGGTGTTTTTAATCCAAGTCCTTGTGGTCTCTCTGCATTTCCACTTGTGAGTTATCTTAGAAGCAGTTTAACATTCAGGTTCAGCAGGGAGTCATGTGTGTGTTCAGAGAGCTCTGGGAAGATCCCTCTCCTGCTGTTCCCATTCCCTGTGAAGCATTAGAAGCTTTTTGTGGAGAGAATTCCAGCAGCTGTGCAGAGGAGCAGGAGGTGTGCCCTGGCCTCGTGTGGCTGCAGGCAGCCCTGGGGAAAGGGAAAACAGCAGCTCTGCCTCCCCTTGGGGCAGGCAGTGAGCAAAGTGCTGGGCTGAGGTCATTAATTATGGTTTCAGGAATAATGATGGTGTTTCAGCCCTTTTCCTGCTGCTTAAAGGAGTGCCACTGGACACTTGTGGAGGCTGTCTAGCACTGCCTGTTTGGAGCAATCCCATTCCCCACAGGGAGCTCCAGACCCTGGGTGAGACATGGCTGGGCACCAGGAGACCCTGCACCAGCATCAGTGCTGATACTGGGGTTTTAAACACATGAACTCAAGTGGTTTAGTGGTGACCATGGTGGTGGGGCTGGGTTGATTGTTGGATTTGATCTTGGAGATCTTTCCCAGTTTTAACAATTCCATGATCCCAAGTGTGTCTCAAATGAACCAAAGGTACACAGCACCTCCCTTCTCCTGGAGTTGCTGCCACAAGCAGTGACACTGACTGGCATTTGTCATTAAACAGCAAAATCTGGAGGAGTTAACGGTGGATGTAGCTGGAAGGAGCAGCAGGAGCAGGATGGGAGTGTGGCTCGTGTGCCATGGTGTGCTGAGCCCAGGGGGTGTGGGGGCTCTTGGGGGAGCCCAGGTGCCCTTGGTGCAGGGCTGGGGCTGTCCTGGCCTTCCCTGTGAGCCATCCCACGTGTTGGCTCATCCACAGCCATGACACGGTGGGAGCTGTGGGATCCAGCTGTGGGATCCAGCTGTTCAGTCCTGAGACCCTGCCCAGCCAGAGCCATCCCTTACATGGCTTATGTAACTTGTCAGAAACCTCCCAAAGTTCTAAAAAACCAGAGTGGAGCCATTGGATTGTGGCCATTTCTCGATATCAGAAATAACAAACAGTGATCCGTTTTCCACAGCTCACCAACCAGGAGAACATTATTTAATTTCTGGGAAGCAGGTGGGGAGTGCCCAAGTTTGGGGTGTGTGGCAGTGAGGTGGTTAAGTCCTGCCTTGGCAGGTGGGAGGGCTGTTGGCTCACTGCACATGAGAGCAGGGAGTGTTCAGTCTTTTCCAGCAAAGGCAAGGGTATTCCCAGCCTGACTGCAGGGCTCGCCCCTTTTTCCGCCCCCTCCGTCTGGTCTGCTGGCCGGGTTACAGAGAATTCCTGACAGGGGAGGTTTCTGCAGGCTGCTCCCTGCATGGATTCCCAATTCCCACTGCCCAGCAGGCTCTGCCCAGCTGTCCCTGGCACATGTCCCTGTCCCATGTCTGGGCACACATGGGCTTGTGGCCATACGGGGCTGGAGTCCCCCCCTGCCCCGGGAGCAGGCACTGCTTGTAGCCAGTGCTTCAGAGAAAATGCCGAGCACACCAGGCCCTTGGGCGAGCTGACGCACAGGAAGCACCGAGGCCTAATGAGCAAACTTGTTAATTTTCCAGATGACAGAGCAGAGGAAGCAGAAGCAGCGCATCGGTCTCCTTGGACACCCCCCGCCCATGAATGTGAACCTGCAGCAGCAGCCAGCCTGAGCTGGGAGGGTCACGGCCCCTCCGGGACACCCCAACCATCCCCAGCCCGGAGGCTGCTCCCTGCACCTTCTGTGCATCCTGTAAATACCCTGGTTTTATACTTAGATGTATATGACTGCTACTCTATCAAGCTGAGGGCACGTGGATTGTGATTAGAACTGTTGGCACGGGACGGAGGTTAAACTTTGTGCCAAAACTATCAAAATTGCCTTTTCCTTGGAAGGACTAAAGAGAGCACCTGAATTGCACTTGAAAAGATTATTTGACTATGTGACATGTATTTTGTATTTAAAAAAAAAAATAATAGAATAGCTAGTATTTATGTTTTTATACAATTGTGCAATATGAATTATGCAATCACAATATATTTGGAACTCCTGAATGTCCTAAAGGGAGTGCACATCTTTGGATCTGGTGTGTTAGTACAATGTAATAAATGGTATAAAATTACAGGTGTAAATGAGGCTGCTGCAAAATTGTGTAACTGGTGATTTTTTTCATACCCTTGGACATTTTTGTACCATGTGTGTAAATATCTTGCAATGCCATATTTGTTGCCTCTTCCTCCCAGGGATGACGCTGGGACTCCGTGAGCTGTTCAATTGGTATCGATTAAAGCAAAACATTATTTTGAAGCTTCCGAGTGAGGAAAGCAGGAGGTATTTTTCAAGAGATTTCTTTAGAGTACTGAGGCTAGAAGAGCTCAGACACCGGGTTTTTTAAATGCTAAGATTTCTTAAAGGGAACTTTTTATGCAAAATGAAGTTTGGAATGAGGATGCACTACTGGCGAGTCGGTGCAGTCTCCCAGGACCGAGCTGAGGCTGTCCAGGCTTTGCATTCTCAGTGTGTAGGATCCTCTCCTTCTATTTTTTCATTAGAGACCTACGTGCCTGCTAAAGCTTTAGCAAACAGGCACTGCACCGACTGAAACGTGTCCTGTAGCTGAGCACTGATGTGTGTCATGCTTGTGTGAGAGCCACTGGTTTGAGGCTGCTCTGTCCCACCCCTTCCTCTCCCTGTCCCCTTTCATTCGGTCACTTTCTTTGGTTTCTGATTCTCCAGAGTGTGAAAGGAAACTTGTCGGGCTGTTGTTTGGTTGGTTTTTTTTTCCCTCTGATCCGCTGCATAGTTTTATACATGGACCTCATTTTACAGAAGCTGACTTCTCTGCAATACTGTCTACAAAAGAAAAAAAAAAAGAAAAAAAGCTACAGACAGAGTTATGAAAATTTGTAAATGCATAAATATAGGTATTTAAATAAATGATGCAAAATACTCTACAGTCAGAGGCTGGTGGTGGTTTGTGTCCCCTCCAAGGGGGTGTGTGGCAGTTCTGTGTTTGGGATGTGGTGTCACTTGGCAGGTGAGGATGGGGCTTTTCCCAGTGCCCAGAGGGGCAGAGGTTGATTTTTTTAAAAAAACAGAGCATGTCCCTCCTCCAGCGGTGAGAGGCACTGGCACCCAGGGAACTTCACCAGCGCTCACTCCGGGTTGGGATACCTCACACTCTCTCCACTGATAGTTTAGCTTTGTGGCTGTGAGAGTTAAAAACCCCTCCAGCTCCAAGTATCGTGTGCACAGGAGCATTGCTGATTATGTGTATTTGATTAAGATGCAGCAGGAACTACCTGGTACAATTAATCATCTTTAATCGGGTAAGTGCACACAAGTGTCTGAGGTGGGTGCGTGCCCCTGGCTCAGGTCACCAGGAAAGCTCAGCGGGAGGGAGGAACGAGGGCAGCCCGACCCGCAGTCTCCCAGCCAGATTTATCGGTGAGATTGTGCCTCCTTAATCACATGTATTTCCATATATATCTCCTGGCAAATCTGTCTTCCCCTCTGCAGCAAGGTGTGTGCAGAGGGAGCGCTGCGGCTGCCGCCGGGCTGGCGCGGTGGAGGAGGAGCAGGATTTCGGTGGAGGAGCAGGATTCCGTTTTCCCTGAGCAGCAGAGCCACGGACCTGACTCACTCCTTCCCCTCCTGCCATCCAGGGATAAGCAGACACAAATTTGTCAGGCTTCCCGGAGCCTCTGCCAGTCAGGTGAGAGGGAGGCGGCTGAGCACAGCCTGAGAGGGCACCCCTGAGGATGTGCAGCGTTGCTTCATCTTTACCTTAAAAAGGCAGAAGCAGCGTGTGCCTGAGCAGTGGCCCAGCCCTGCCCTGCTCTGTGATCCGTGTGAAAGCAGCGGGGTGCAGCCTGGGCTGCGGCTGTGCCTTCCCAGGAGCTGTGGGGAGATGCACAGAGGGACGTTCTCCCCCGAGGCTGCAGCAAGAGAAGCAGAGCACAGCCACCGCCCCGGCAGTGGGGGATGCAGTGGTGCAGGGTGCGGGGGTGGGTGGTTCCAGGGCTGGCACAGATGGCTCAGGAGGTGACACTCTGTCCCCAGCCTGAGCAGAGGCTGTGTCAGCTGGTCAGCAGAGGAAGGTGACACTGTTCCTCCCCTCAGCCCACGAACGGGTCATTCACGTCTGCAGATTCATTTCTGCAGTGACATTTCATGCATGACCATTTTCCTTTTTTCTTCTTTCACTCTTGGGTTTTCTAAGCTTTTTATTTTTTTTTTTTTTTGTCATTCTGGCTGAACTCCTCTGCCCATGACGGCTGTGCCAGCAGAGGCAGAGAGTGGTGAAAACCCTGCTGGGGCTGCTGGTGGTTCTGTCCCTGCAGCTTCCGAGGTCAAATCTGTGTTAGGACTTTCCCATTCTGGACTGAGATCTGGTGCCCCATGGCAACTTCCTGATCTCAAAGAAAAACTCTGCGAGGGATCTGTTTAATTTCCCCATTTGGGGCACTATTTTCCACAAAAGCTGAGTATCTCTGACATCATAAAAAGCTTTATTCACAATTGTTGGACTCTCAAGTGAAAAAAATTCTCCAAAACCTGACTGAGGCATCGGTAAGTTTAGGTCCTGTACAGGAGGGAGTTTTTTGGCTCTAAAAACACATCACTGACATCCAGTAAAATTAATGATTGGGTGACAGACAGACGGCTGTTGGTTTAAGGATTAGATTGAAACCATGGAGGTTCCACCTGCCCTGCACACACCTGGGTTTTCCTTTGGCATCAGCTTTCATTAAGCAGGACTGCTGGATGTTAAAGTTTGGGACCACGATTACTTTGGCTCTTAAATAAGAACTTCCATTTGGAGGTGGAAATCAAAAGTGACCTTCTGAAAGAGGAAGGAACAAACCGAATCTACCAATTTTTGCTAATAATGGAAAGTCCTAGAGGGGAAGGATCTCCGTGCATTCCTCAATTTGCATGACTGGCCAAGTGTGTGGAGGAGCCTTTTCTCCGCTAATGAAGCAGGTGACATGCTAATCAAGGCAATGCAAATAACTTCTCTCAAAGCCCAGCCACAGCCCCAGCGCTGCCACAATGGCAAATTCAAGCCTCATCCTCAATTTTGCAGCAAATTGGCGAAGGGCAGGACAAAGGAGCCGGGATTGCAGCCTCGGTGCTCGCGGCGGGGCTCACACTGGGGCGCGTGTGATGGAGACCTCGTTACATAATGGGGACTTGATTGATATCGGGGAAGTCACAATACAGCTCCATAGCAATCCCCCTCGTCTCCCCGGATGGGAAATGCTGCTGCACACGCGCCTAATCGGGGTTTTAAATTGCCCATTGTATTTCCGAACAAGAGAAACTTATTTGGAGTACTTTGCAGTTTCCAACATAAGCAGCCGAAGACGCTGCCACGCGTGTTCTCTGTGCTCTGCACACCCACTGGCTGCATTTCCAGGCTCACACCTGATGCCGGGATGGGTCAGGTGGGGAGGGATCACCTGGTCCAACACCTCTGCTCCATCAGGGCCATCCCAGAGCACGTGGCAGGAGCACACGGGAGGTCCCGGGGGTGCCTGTGGATCCACCCCGTGCCAGAACACCCACAGCCAGTTCCACGTCAGTGCCTTCCCCACCAGGGGACACAAAGGGGCCGTAAGCTCGTGCAGGTGGACTGGGGTGGCTCCATTTCCACGGAACACTCCCTGGCTGTGGGCCAGCGTGCCCAGGTTCTCACATGCCACGCTGGAATTCCGTGCCAAGCTGCGAATTTCCTGGGGCTAGCACAGAGTGTAACCTTTACTCTGAGCACGATGCATTTACTTCTACAAACACACTGACCAGGCTTTCAGCTCGCTCTGGATGAGCTGTGGATACTTGGAATAAAATCAGGAAAATATTCCTTCTAAGTGAAACTGGCATTGTCACTGCGACATAAGGAGTAACTTCTGGAGAGATGCTGTATTTCTCCCTCCAATTTTTTATTTACTACCTTTCCAACCTTCTTTCAGACTAAACATGTTAATGAGCTGAATGTCAAAACCACCCACGAGTAAACTGAGCTGTCCCATCCAGTAGGCTGATGTTGGTTTGTTTTTAGTAACTAGCAAGGATGCTGGAAAACCCCTATAAAGATTTCATTTTTAACAAAAAGTACCAAAAACTCCACCAGTTTTGCATCACAAAGTTGTGGTTAAAGTCAAGATTTGAGTCAAGCAGCATGTCTGTGGTTTTTGTGGGTGGATGCATCTCGGAATGACTATCAATCTGTCAGAGGGAGATCTGCATGTCATCTCTGCATATGACAAGCAGAATCTGCAGTGACAAATATCTTTCCAGTACTCGCTGCGCTGAGCTCGTACCCCTCCTGCCATCCAAAATCGCCAAGTCTTGTCAGCACATAGCTTGGACTCGCTTTTTTTTTTTCTTCTAAACCGACACAAACAGAGGAAGGAAAGACAAATATAGAGCAGTGCTCTAGAGATGCCACTGAACACCGCTGCCAATGTGCTTAGTCACCCCCAAATTGTGACGTGCACACGGGAGATGCCATGCTGGACACTTGGATCAGAGCAGCCTGCCCGATCTCTGCAGTGTGTGTGTGAGGGGGACACTTGGAATTGAAACTGTGTAAGGAAAAAAATGAAAGAATAACTCTGGACCGAATCAGAGTAACAGGAGATGCAGCTGGAATTGCACAGAGGAGTTCACAGGGGGAAAAAAAGTAAAACAAACACAAAAAAACACCCAGAAAATCTGATTGATTTAGAGCTTGACTGCTGGTGTGGAAGTGCCCAAATTTCCCTTTTTACAGGTCTCCATGGGAGAAATAGGAGCAGTTTGAGCCACTGCAACACAGGAAAAAAAGCCTGAAATTCAACAATAACCAGGAGGTAGGAAAAGCACCCTGTGCACAGCCGAACTCCCAGTGCTGGGCTGCATCCAGAGTCTGTGTGAGAACACGCTGACAGCTGGATAAATTGCCTCGAGGCAGGTGCTTCCCCAGGAGCCCCACGGAGCAGGAACAGCCAGACCCATTTCCAGGCAGCCCTTCCCTCCAGAAGCACTATCATCCCTCAGACCTGTCTCTCAGCTTTCTTACCCATTAGTGCTCCTCAGCTGGCTCTTCTCACCCTGACTCTCAGCCCTTTTTTTCCCCTTTCTTGTCTCATCTCAGGAATGACTTTGCAGCTCTGGCTTGCCCAGAGGCCTTCCACTGCCTGGAAATGGTGCCTGGTCCCAAGGGAACGGGCAGAAGCAAAGCCATTCCTGGGCTTTATTGAGGCAATGGGTTTGTTTTCACTTCCCTTTTCTAGCGCTAAGTAAATACACAGAACACCAAATCCGAAGGCAGTGAGGAGTGGAATTCCATCTCTGTTCCATGTGTTCCAATATGACTCTTAAAATAGTGGAGATGCTGTGTTATGATTTCCATTTCGCTTGTGTCCATAACACTGTTTTACGCAGCAGAGATGGAAACACAATCTGTTAAGTCTGTAAGAAACTTTTCCTTATGAATGATGGGTGCAAACATCATGTACAATCACATTCCAGGAAGAAAATTCTATCCCCTCGGTGTTAGCAACCCCAAAAGGAGCTAAAAACTGCAGCTTGCCTCTATTTACACACCACAGGAGTTTTCACTTCAATTTAATCACCGGATGATTCATTATTCACAAACCAAAGAATCATTATAATCAAGTAGAATCATAGAATTGTTAAGGTTAGAAAAGACCTTTAAGATCACCAAGTCAATGGTCAATCCAGCCCTGCCACCATGTTCACCACTAAACCATGTCCTCAATGCCACTTCCACAGGTTTTTTGGGACACTTACAGGCATGGTGACTCCTCCACTTTCTGGGGCAGCATGTTCTAATGCTTTACAACTCTTTCTGTGAAAAAAAATTCCCTAACATCTATTCTAAACCTCCTCTGGTGCAACTTTTGGTTGTGCAGTAGCACAGCTACCTGCAGGATCCAAATCAGAT